TGTCTTTCTTATGTATCTACATTCAGGGGCGTAGCCAGCATTTTTCGGCCCTGTGGGGGGTTTGTAAATGATTGTCAGGGGTTAAGGGGGCTTTTGTGTCGATCGCTGAAAGTTAAAGGGTGGGAGGGGCGATATGGTGTGGTGGCTGCACATGGGACCTTCCGCTGCCATCGCAGGGCCACTAAATGGGCTCCTAAATTGCCAGGGCCCTATGCACTCTGTCACCCTTTTCATCCCTCTTGCAACAACCCATCTACATTTATGCACTGGAGTCTGTCCCGTTTAAAGGTCTGATAATCACCAGTTAACATGGGTGTCACTAACCTACATTTAGGGGGACTTTAGACCCCTATATTGTTTCTATTCAGCCCCTCTAAAAATTTTGTGATTAGCTCATTAATTGTACTAAATTTTCGCCTCAGTCCGACTTATGAAAACGGCATCAGACTTCTGTTTCCCCCAATTTCAACTCGTTTTCCGTTTAGCCGTAACAACAAACCACAGCTGTGCAGAGCAAGAGAACAAGGTGTGTGTTTATCGATAGATTGGTATAATATATGCATATTTGCAGTTCTTTGCTAAAGATACACTTGTTTCTCTTGTATGCTTTTATATACTTTGTATATATTTTTTTGTTTTATTTTTTTATATTAGGCTCTTAAAAGAAGCAGATTATTGGGTGCACAGGCGTCACTTTTTGTTCTTCACCAGCAAAAAAAAAATAAATAAAATAAAATAATAATAATAATAATAATAATGTTAATCCATATTAAATTTAACATAAAAAGCAATTTGAAAACTGACTGTCATTCTCTAATTGTCCCTAATTCTCTAATTGTCTGATTGTCATACGTCAGAGTCTCCCTCAACAATCTTATAAAGAATCCTCTCTGCTTCAGTTCTGCCTCATACAACATGCAGTCATTAATTACATTAAGATGGTCCTGGTGTCACTATAGTGGACATTTAAAAAGCATGATATTTTGAAACAAACAATTTAACAGCTTTGAAAGCTAAATGTATTGTTCTTGACACATTAAAACACAAATATATACATTTAATAATAATAATAATAGTAAAAAAATTTAAAAGGTAAAATTTACATGCCCCTCTCCTTACCATAAAATTTGCTTTTTTTGGTTGCCGGCCATTTTGGATGCAGTGTAAGAATTGGTTCCTAGCATGCCAGCCAATAAAATGACATATCACTAGAAGGATGTCACCTGCACAGTACAACAGGTCTTGACAGAGTAGCTGAGAAAATTTAAAGAAAATATATGACAAACATCCCATCACTTGTGCTCTTAACACCAAATCCTTTGTCACCACACATATATGATCATCCTCTTATTTTTGCACTCAGTATGTTTTCCCCTGCTTGCTTTTACTCACACATTTTACTCACACATTTTTTTCAGTCATGGTGCTTCTCGATTATAAGATGCCAATTGCATGCATACAGACAAACAGTCTGGCCTAATCAGGCTTCTGAAAATCCTGTCTACTCAGTAGAAGAGCTCAGTTGACTTACATCCCACCACAGTTTTTCACTATTACTATGCCAGCTCAGACTCAAAGTATTTAGGCCCACTCCAAATTTGTCTGTGTGTGTTCACTTTCTAAAACAACTTTAACACAATATTAGATTTTAATGGTACAATTCACCCGTAAGGCGGCGTGTGATGTCTTGTCGCCTCACAGCAAGAAGGTTGCTGGTTCAAGCCTTGGCTGGGTCAGTTGGAATTTCAGTGTGGAGTTGGTATGTTCTCCATGTGTTCATGTGGGTTTCCTCCAAGTTCTCTGGTTTCATACTCAAGTCCAAAGACATGCGCTATAAGTGAATTGGGTAAGCTAAATTGTCCATAGTGTATGTGTATGAATGAGAGTGTATGGGTGTTTTCCAGTGATGGGTTGCAGCTGGAAGGGTATCCACTGCGTAAAACATATGCTGGATAAGTTAGTGGTTCATTCTGAGTGGTTCAAAAGATAACTCATTGGATGTTGGGTAGACCAGATGGAGATGACGGAATACGAGAAACATGAAGCATCAGCAGACAAAAACCACACGACAACTAGATGATGAACCAGGATAGACAATACTAGGAGAAAGGACGCAGATACTGGAGATAACAGGATAGAAGGAGAGGTAAGTAACTTTCAGAATAAGTGTAAACACTGACCATAAGGAAAGTGTAATCATTCATTTGCAACAAGATCAGACACTGCAGCTCAGAGTGAGGGTTTATGGTGCTGGGGTAATGAGCATGATTATGTGCAGGTGCGGGAGTAATCAATATGTAGATGACGGTAATCTGGTGTCTTGACATTTTTCCTAGCCGCCAGATTACGCTACCAACACTGTATTTGAATGGTTCTGTATTTAGAGGTTGGGATTAGGGATTAGGCAGGTTAGGGTGACATTACAGCTTCATATCAGACTAATCCACATTCAAAATATTACTGGTAGCAAAATCTGATGGGTAGCATATTGCGTCATCAATATGTGCTACCTACTTTTTGAATCTGACAAGGTAGGACAAATCGACAGAACATCGAATAAATGCAGTAATTGAGGAAGGGGAAAACCTGTGACAGGCTTAGTGTTTGTTTTTTAATGCACTGTTATCCCCTTCTTGTATATTATGCAGTAAATAAATAAAACAGCCAGTGTTTTGCTGCAATAAAAGGAAACAGTATTTTACTGTAAAAGTAGTAGGATTTGTATGATATTGTTTAGTGCAAAGAATAAAAAACTGTAATTTACTAAATGTACTTTGACAATAAATGGTAAATTACTGTTCAACAATTATTGTCTCATCTACTCTAATGCTTTATGTTGCTATTTATAGAGAAGTCCATTTGTCTTAAGGCAGAAATCAATGATTTAGGAATTAACACACACACACACACACACATACACACATACACAGTCTCTCTGTCTTATTCTAAAGACAAAGGTGTTGCCCCTTTAAGGGAACCAGGTGTTTAATTTGTTTACTTTCAAGTGTGCTCCAGTCACTGGGTGTGTCTTAATTCCAAGAACGCAGAGAACGGACTTGCGTTCTTGTAGAGACTGGTCTTGCCAGGTGTCCCTGGAAGAACGAACTCGGGAGAGCGTGATGGCAGAGAACACATCCTGTGAGAAATGAGATGCTGCGTTCTTCCTCATGGTCACATGACTTTCATGCATTTTTAATGCAATACTATTTAAGCATAACAGCATTCATACAACTATTTATTGTTTTTCCCCTTTTTAAAATATATACTATGCATAAAAACATTATAAACATGCATTGCACAATTTAAACAAAAACTGATTTTAATACGAATTTCAGCAAATAAACCCCCTAATGTGTTTATTTCTCTATTAAGATGTTCATGGTGATGTTTACTTTCAGTTTCATTTAGGGGAACTCCTGAAATAAAGAAGTTATATCTGTAAACTGATCTACAGCCCAACAGAGTTTAATTCTCACCCTGCTTTAATATTAAATTACCTATAGATTTCTATTGCTTCTATTTTCTACTGTCATTTTTGGACCATTTCCACTGAGTGTACGGTACAGTTTGATTGGCTTTTGTGGTTGTTTTCACTGTCAAAGGGTGCCAAAAAGCGAACCGTACAATAACATTTTTTGGTCACCCTTTGCAAAGGGTAACAAGGGTACCAAAAGGTGAAGCTTGATGCGCAGCTGAACGCTATTGGTTTAAAAAGATACGTCAATCGCTCGCGCAACAACCCAGAGAACTTGCCATACTTCTATATTTAAAATAACAAACATTTTGAGCTCATATTAATAATGTGCACGTGATCATTGCAGCACTCTGATATGCGATCCTGTCATAAGTGACTTTCTGTTGAAAGTGAAGCACAGAAAAAAAGGAGAAGCCGGGAAAAAAAGCAACAAATGATGCTTCTGCAACCTAAAACATCAACAAACTGCCATGTTTAATTATTGTCATCACCTTTTGGGCTATTATGATCTCGGAATGACGGAATTACTTTCTAAAAAGAGGTTACATGTGCTGCTGAAGATTAAAGTTACAGATGAGAGGTTTGCTCTAACTCTGGGCTGTTTCGTATGTTTTTGAACCTGAATAAGGACTAAATGTGTGCTGTGTGTAGTTTTTTTCTGTAATTGATAACATATCGGACACTATTAGGGTCTGTGTGTGTTATGTTCATTTATTTATTTATTTTATATAATTGCAGATGTTACAGAAGGCTATTTCGCATTGTCATTGATCTGCAGTTATAATCAAATTATGTTCACAGAAAGGTGCTTCTTATATGATATGTGAACCACCCATACTGCTTTACAGGAGACATTTCCTCAAGTGAAATTCACCCTGACTGAAACTTTGTCGTACACCACACCCACCAAAAGAGTACCACTGGTACCCTTTTAACAGTGGAAATGCCAGCCTGATAAAGGTGACCCGTACTGACCCGTACCGTACCGTACTGTTCCTTTTAGTGGAAACGGGCCATAACTGGCAACACTATTGCCATTTAGTCACTCTAGTGCACTCTTAAAAAAAAGGTTCCTTGAGGTTCTGTATAGAACCTTGGGGTTCTATACTTGGCCAGTAGAACCTTTTACCCAAAAAATGGTTCCATTTAGAACCCTTTGACTGCAAAGAACCTTTTTGATTAAAATGGTTCTATAATTTTTGAATCATAACATAATTATGTAGTAAAGATTATTAAATAATTATAAGCTATAACACAGAGAGACAAAGCTTTTTGAGTCAAAACCTAATAAAATGAATGCTGTGGTCAAAAACTTAATCAGTGTACATTATGATGGGATTTTTTTTTATGCAGGTTTGTACAATAGCATATAACTTATAGGCCTAGTTTATGTTTAACATTTTTGACAAATTATTTTGTGAAATAAATAAAATGACCAATTTATTTAGACTGTGCAGTAACATGTTGTTATGGTTTAATAATTTATTTGAAACTAATAATCATAAAAAGGCCCTCTGGTGACGTCAGTCATTGACAAGGACATCGTCATGGACCAGTGGTGAAGAGCCTCGAGAGAAGGTTAATTTTTCGAAAGGAGAAGTCCACTATTTCAGCTTCATCATTCAGGTATGTTAGTACATTTAATATATATAGTGAAATATTTTGTATTATGAAGGAAGGTTATTTGATAGAAAATCCCTCGTGTTATATGGTGATACAGATTGAATGGGGGCAACTTTAGCGTTAATATGGATAAACACTGTGCTTGATGACTTCGGTCGTCACCCTTCGGTTCAGAAATCTGTTAAGTTAAATTTGTTCTGCTTTTTATTCAAAATAAGTTACAATATCGCTATACTTGTTCGTCAGTACTACTAATTAAATCACCGATAACAGTACACAGCTGTGTTATTTGAAGGCGAGCTTCGAGAGAGCGTGAATGAAGCATGTGCACGTTATTTTAAAATTAACTAACGTTAGATTTGAGCCAATTTCATCGTGTTTTTCGTGTTGTTTTTAGCTCCAACCTTGAACAAATGCTCACTTTTAGCTTGGTTCGTGTGTGTTTTATCAGTGATTGAGCTAAACTCTGCAAAGTAGTGAACATTACTGCCCGCTTTTTAGACGTTCCCGCTAGTCTGCATAAAACAGCAAGATAATAGTGCACCGCTCGTGCCCGCACAGGCAGATTCGTGCCCGAGTCTGTGCACGCACGGGAGGCCAGTCACGGTGGCAAGTTCTCCCTATGGCCAGTCCGCCCCTGAATATTATTGAAACATTTAAAAAGCCAAACATATTTTAACAATCCATAGATGAAAGATCAGGTGTTATTTATAAAAGACACAAAAATGCAGAATAAATTTATTGTGAAATTATATATATATATATATATATATATATATATATATATATATATATATATATATATATATATATATATATATATAGTGCAAAATAAGTTTAAAATAAATATTTTAATGTATATTTTTTTTTCTTCAAACAGCCTGGAAACTGAACTGCATCATAAAACTTGTGCTTGGTATCATTGTTTTAAAATTCAAACAAAATGTATTGTGGTCAGTAAAATGAAATAAATATTATAAAAGACTTCAAGATTGTATTTATCATTACAGAAAAGTGTCATGGGACCCATATTAAGTTTCCAAATTTGATCTGCTGCACACAAGTAGCTTTGAAGAAGAAGGATCCCAGCTTAAAGAAAAACACATCACATCCATAATTGTTTGACATCATCTTCAAGCACACCTGGTAAAGTATTGTATTTTATAACATGCATAATTCAGACTTGTTGGTTGTTGTGTACTGAAAAAAATATATTTATCACAAAAAATATTCTATTACTTACTACTGCTGTTTTAATACAGTGAGAATATTAAGGTCGTTGCTTAAAAAAAGTCCTGCAGAGCAGAAATATGTATTAAAAGGTGTAAATTTGCCTACAGGATTCCTTGTTGCAATGTCTTCAAAACAAATGTAAAAATTAAAGGATTTCAGTGGTGAGCTCATAATGATGGGATCAAAAGGAAGTGAACTGGACTCTGAGGGACTTAACACAAGGTAAGTTCATTTCAATACATTTTATGTCAAGATTAATTCTGTGATTTAAATTTATATTTACACATTCTACAAATGCTGTCTTCCTACCTCAGATTGTGATGGACCTAGAATGCGACACCGTTTACGAATAAGTCAAGAACCAAATGAAACACTATTTTCCAGAGCGCAGATTATGGAGGGGTCTGCAAAACTAATGGAGCAGTTTTTTCTTCTTGGAGTGCCACAGCTTGTGAGTAACCAAACACTGTTACATTGTGTGCCAAATAGATATGAAAAATCTGTGCATATGACATTTTAAAGCTTATTTGGTAAAGCAATGCATTAGCAATGCCAAATGTGTTCCAGATCACACATATTAATAAATGTATAGATTAAACACAATCTAAGTCCCTTTGGATAAAAGTATCTGCCAAATATGATGTATGTTATTTGATATACAGTTATTTTGTTTTGTTCTTATTCTAATTTTATTGTTTTATTTAATGTACATACTGAATTGAGGTCACTCAGAAATGTCAATTTCATTAAATTCTGTAACAAATGAAGTGCAGATTAAATAGAAAATATATTATAGCTGTCTACACTGTATTTCTGTATTTTTGATGACTTTAAAGTACTTGTATTTCTGAAAATGTGTCACTTGGAAACTTACACAAAGTAAACAAAATGTTTTAATTTAGGATGCTGCATATAAGGACTTAGTGAAGAACACAGAAACATCTTTAAAAGAAATGGCCCAAAAGAAGGGAAGGAAAGAAGGAAGTACTCAGCATTGAAATATTGTTTTACAGAAATCCAAAGGTCCTAACAGCTCTCCTGATTCCGTCAAGGCTTGAAGTGTCAGCATTACGATGGCCAACACTCGCTCACTATCCTTCTGCTCCCTCATTTATCAGAGGCACCACAGTAGAATGAATTAGCAATTACTCTTCACTTTCCAGCTGCAACCCAGCACTGGGAAACACCCATACACTTTCTCATACACCTGCACACATTCACTCACTGTGGCCAATTCACCAATACCGTACGCATGCTTTTGGACTGTGGGGGCAACTGGAGCACCCAGAGGAAACCCACACAAACACTGGGAGAACTTGCAAACTTCACACAGAAACACCAACTGACCCAGTCAGGACTCAAACCAGTGACCTTCTTGCTGTGATGTGACAGTTCTAACCAGTGAGCCACTGTGCCACCCATAGACAAAACTATTTACGTTTTAAGAGAGGCCGGCAAACATGGACATGTTACAGGTTGTGGAATGGCTGTTCTCAGTGTTTTGTCTAATCATTTTGCAAAGTTTTGTGTGCGATTAAGCACTTTCTTCAATAACTTTTATTAAAAATTATGTATAAAAATGGATGTTGACATGACCAATACATACATGTACCGTCAACTTGTTGAAATTGTAGTGTTTTTTAATAGATGTTTGTGTATTGTTTCTATCTGCATTGTAATACATTTTTCATCATTTTAGAGATGTTTGAAAGTTAAGTTTTGTATTTGTTCAATCAGTAAGCAAGCTTACAAATGTTTATTAATAAGTGAAATCATTAGAATTAGATTGTTGAATGCCATTAAGCTGTTAATTATGTTTACTAATTAAATAGTAAAAATGTATAATGTTTAGAGGTAGATCTTATACAAAGTACGCAGAGGTGCAATTTTTAATATTATCTAAAACTTATTTTGTGAAGTAAATTGAATAAATTTAAACAATTTGAATTTTCTGCATTGGTTTTATTTTTTATTCAATAATAAATAACATTAATTCAATAATAAATAAAGAACCCTCAAATGGTTCTAAATAGAACCATGTAACTTGAATTCAAAGAACCATTTGGGGTTCTATTTAATGAACCCTTAAATGGTTCTATTTATAACCTTTTTGGGGTTCCATATATGAAGCGCTTGAAAGAACCATTTTTGGTTCTATATAGAACCGTTTATTTTAAGAGTGAAAGAACCATTTGGGGTTCTATTTAATGAACCCTTTAAATGGTTCTATTTAGAACCTTTTTGGGGTTCCATATATGAAGCGCTTGATAGAACCATTTTTGGTTCTATATAGAACCGTTTCTTTTAAGAGTGTGGTTTGGTTACTGTAAATAACTGACAACACAGTTGCCAGTTACTAACTGTAACCAAACTATTACGGTAGAGTATTCCACAGTAAATAAGCCTGGTAAGGTCCAAAGCCTGTTTTATACTCAATGTGTCCACTAGTTAGTTTGAGTGCACATGGCAAATGTGACATCATTGATGTGTTTGCTGAGGTTCGCTTTGGGTGCGTGTGACATGATTTTGGCTGGCAGAGCTACATTTTTGAGACTCAAAATCAGTTCAAGAAGTGCCACATTTTATTTGAGTTGACTATGAATCACTTTGAAGAGATTTTGCCTAAAACGGGTATGACTGAACAGACACCATTATTATCCATTCATGGGGGATCATAGGAATAACCAGATGGCCAATAATTTTTATCTTGACTAAAAATTGCAAAACAGTGGGAAAGCTTTAAAAAGTTTTGAAACACCTGAGGTATAAGTTTTTTCAAAACCAAAAGAGGACATGGCAAAAGTGAAGAGCCAGGATCACAATTACAGAAATATGTTTTTTCCATCATTTATGGGTTTTACACTAATATATATATTTAGGCACCTTCTTCTTCTTTCATCTTCTTCAGAATGAATCGAGATTTTGAGAGTCTAAACATGCCTGAAAACTCACTAAACTTTGCACATGGCCCAGAAGTGGCATGCATTTGTGGTTGGAGGAGAAAGTGCTTATAACTCAGACAAACAATGTCTAATCTGCCTGAAAATTAACATTTAATGAGATTCCTCTCCTGAAGGCATCTACATGCCAATATTGAGTAACAGTCATAGCGCCACCTGCTGGCAGAAGGAAGTTTGGCATACATCAGTAATTTTTGAGTTTTTTTTTTAATATATATTTTGCTCAGTTTAAATTATTATTGTCCACTGTTCTTTGTCATCCTAGGGCCACTAGACAACGGTAAGCCCGGGTGCGAGGTCCCTTTCATCGCTGCTTGCAGCTTTAATACAATTTAGAACTGAAAACAATTTAATAGTTACAATACTATTATTAAGGATCAAATGAATTCTTTGATAACTGGAAAGGAATTTTAAAATTTAAATAATTTTTTTTAGGAACATTTGTAATTAGTTATTGTAATTTTTTGATTTTTTTTTTTTTTGTAACAATCATGGATTAATTATTTGCCCCAACGAATGACAATGTGAGCTAGCAAAAAACAATATTAAATCTAGATTGTTAAAATAAGTAATTACCTCAATAAACCATTAATGATTGCAGATGTTTTTTTTATTTGTTAAACATGAAAAGATCCCTGACCGATGTTACTGAGATTGAGATGCCAGAGTTATTTGACCAGAGGACAGGTTCTTCTTGGGGCACAGTGCCAGAACTCCAGCACAACAATGAAGGAAAAAGATAAGACAGAGCACAGGAGAGAAGAGAGAGGACATAGGCGAGCAGGAGTTTGAAGAGAGGGGTGAAAGGGAGGAGAAGGCATGAAAATGATGAGGGGAAACGGGAGAGGGCCCCTGACAGCAGAAATAGTGGCTCTTTAATGTTCCTTTTTGGGAGAGAACAAAGGACAGAGATATTTGAGGAGAGAGAGAGAGAGAGAGAGAGAGAGAGAGAGAGAGAGAGAGAGAGAGACGGGACACAGTGAAAGCAATTGTGTAAACTAAAATATGTTATGGCATATCAGTATGTTAGTAAATTTGAAAAATTTGAAATACTTCCAAAAATGTAGCAAATTTTTGCATGTTTACACCTTTTTTTGCTCTGGTGTCCTTCATACATTTCTTTGTTCTGCTAAATGTCAGTACCAAACTGATCCCAGGACCCTTTAGTTAATCAGACACTAACAGCTAGACCATGAGTAAGCATGACATTATGACCCATTTCCACTGAGTGGTATGGTGCGGTACAGTACGGTTTGGTTCGCTTTTATGGCCATTTCCACTGTCAAAACGTACCAAAAAGCAAACTCTAACGTACCACTTTTTGGGTTACCTTTCGGAAGAGTATCTAGCGGAAGAGCCAGAAGCGCAGCTAAACATTATTGGTTTACAGAGATATGTCACTAGCGCATGCACAAGCTAGAAGAATAAAAAAAAGGAAGCTCCATTTCCAAATACAGAGCCGAGACATAACACCATATTGATACATACATATAATAATGAGCCATGGTCGACCAGATCTTAAACAAACCTTGTTGTTGTCTTGATAAACAACCACGAAGCCAAGAGGAACAGCAGAAACTACCCTGTGCCCTGTAACGTTAGTTGTTTACAAGGCCGTCTAAATTGCGAGCTGTTTCGCTTTCTCGCTTGCACTCATCACATGTCTATATTTGAAATAACAAACTTCTTGAGCTCATGATAATACCTTGCGCGTGATTATTGAAGTTCTGACACTTAATCTTTTCAAAAACGGACAAACGTGAGAGTGATGCTCAAAAAAACAAAGGAGAAGCTTGACAAAACAAAGGAGCAAGTGATTGTTTCAGCAACCTAAAACATCAACAAACTGCCATATGTAACTATTACCCTCGCCTTTTGGACTATTATGAACTCGGAATGACGGAATTACTTTCTAACAAAAGGGTTATATTTAGATTAAAGACAAAGACAAGAGGTATGCACTGACTGGGCTATATGTTGCGTGTTGTTTTAAAACCTAAATAAGAACTAAATGTATGTTGTGTGTAGTTTTTCTGCAATTGGCATATCGGAGACTGTAAGGGGCTGTATGTGTTTATATATGTTAAATTCATTTATTTATTCTATATAATTGCAGAAGTTACAGTAGGCTATTTTGCCCTATCAATGATCTGCAGTTATAATCAAATCCTGTTCATAGAAAAGTTAGTAATGAACATTTGTACACAAGTGTTTATGTGTATAAAGCATCTGTTTTGTGAGAAGGCTTTTCATAATGATATGCAAACGATCTGTACAGCTTTACTTTGACATTTCCTTGAGCGAGAATAACGTCGACTGAAACTTTCTTTCGTACACGACACCCACTAAAAGGGTAACATTTTGGAAGTGGAAATGCAAGCCTGATAAATGTGACCCCTATTGTACCGTATTGAACCACTCAGTGGAAATGAGCCAGTGTTTAACTTAAGCTAAAAGAGAAAGCATTTTTACATTCAAAAATGCTGACTACATTTGACAAGACCAAAAACATACAAGTTGGCAGAACAGTTCCTAATGACTGATGATTTGTTGTTCCTTACTGGATGCAGACATGATTTATTAAAAATAAATTGCATTATTTTCTTTTTGAATGTTTTCATACTTGAGTATCATTAGCACTGCATAACATCTAAAATGTAACCAATCCTGGAGAACTTTTTTGTGATTTGAGAGAATTACTAAGTAAAAGGTGAGAATCTTGTCTTAATTCGGGAATTTATGCATATTTTCAATTAAAGCCAAGGGTTTAAGGTTCTTAAATGGACAACGCCTCTTTGTAAGACCTCCAGGAACTACCTCACTGCCCTCAAAAAAACCAGTCCCCTTCTGGTGTTCGAAAAAAAATAAATTGTTAACTTTGTCATCTTGAGAAAAAAAATCTACCCCTATACAGCACGCACGCACGCACAAGCACGCACGCACACACACACACACACACACACACACACAACAAGATTGTGATCCATTTTCGTATTACAGCCAAAACAAAGTTCAAACATTATGATCCATTTTTTTTACTTCAATTGTTTCTCTAAGAGAATGTCAGTGTACACAATTTCTTCACATATTTCTGCTTCACAGCATTATTTGCCAGCGTTATAGAGCAATACAATATTTTAAAGCACAGTAGAACTGCTTAAGAAGTGCAATTTGCATTTTTTTTTTCAATGCGAAATTGTAGCATGTGTGAGGTTAAACTCTCATTCCATTGCTCTGCTGGTCCTCCAGCATGCCGCAGGCAAGAGAAAACAAGCCAGGAGAAAAAAATGCATTTTTTTTCCAACACAATAAAAA